TCAGGAGGGGAAGAGTTGTATTTCTTCCAGCCACACGTTTTTGCAAAAGGATTGGATTTTGCTGGATGTAGAGGCACTTCAGTCAGTCATCTTTGCCTATGCCTATCAGTTTTGCCACTGGTAAGGGCTAGAGAGAGGATGCTCTGTGTCACTGCAGCCTGTTGTGGTCTAGCAGCTGTTTGCCTACTGCAGGCTCTGTGTTGGGTATATTGTGTGCAGCAGCTTGTTAGCTTACAGCTAACACTGCTCAACTTTCTACCCCTTACTGAGCTGTCCTGCAGCTTTCCTGAGAGCCGGGGTGCCCTTTGGCACCAGCTGTGTCCCAAGAGCTTATCCCACTCTCTCTTGCCCATAGTGAACCAAGGTGTGTGTGGAGCATCTTCCCTCGCTCCCTGCTCAGCTTTCCTTTTGGCTCTCAGCTTCAGGGCCCTTTGAAGTGTGCATTCAGGGCAGTTGTTGGCTTGTTTGTTTTCCTCTCCTTACTGCATCTTCCTGCTTACCCTCTAGACACATTTGGTAACACGGTTGTTAGCCTATATTTATTGCTTTTCTTTGGTGTTTTCATCATCCCTTAATTGTGGCATGTAGTCCCACACAATTGAATTCGTTTTGAATTTTTAGTTGTTTGGGTTTTTTAAATCCATTCATCTCTCTGACAGAGAGGCCTGTGAGAGTTTTTGGCATAGTTGTGATATACTGCATCTGTGAGAGAGAATTCATACCCTGGCTTTTTTTTTAGCACTTGGCTTTAAGAATTTCAGTCTCCTTGCTTTAATGTGAATTCCAGAAGGCAAAGGATTTATATTTCCTTTCTTAAGTCTCTTGAAGCCTATGCACCTTTTAAAGTTTTTTTTATAATTGCATGGCATATGTTCTGGTAGAAATAATTAATTGAGGAGGCTCATACTTGTTACTGCTTCTGGATGCCTTGGGGGCTCCTGGTTGGGCTGGCTGGCTGCCATGAACCCTCCCTGGCTGGTCAGCCAGCCTTCATGCCGGCCTGGTTTCCAGCACAAGCAGTGTCCAAATCGACACATTCCCATGGAATGTTTTAGATTTCAAAAAAGCAACATTTTCCTGTGGAAAAGCCTTCCCTCAGAAAAATCCCTGCTAGCCCCCAGTCATGCGGCTTCCCGTGCCTGGGGCCCTGTGGCGTGATGAAGTTTCCTACTGGTTGTCATCAGAGGGAAAACAGTTCATTGCTTGCCTTGAGCAGAAATTGAATCCTACTTGTCATTAGAAGTCAATTGCGAATTCCTAGGAAAGGCACAATTTTATCAGGAGTGGCTCCTGTTTCTGGGTATCTCATTTCACACAAGCAGATGCTCACATGTTAAAAACACTGTTAGTCTGCAGTTCTCTCAGCTGCTGGTTTTCAGCAAGTATGTAAATACTTCATTTGCTCCCTGTGGTGGTGCATGGATGCCACAGTGACAGTGACTGTGCTTCAGAGAGAGGTGGATCCTGCACTGGACAGATGAGCACCCCCAGATCCTGTTTTATGCTTTTGCTACAAATGCTGTTGCAGCCTTTGGCTGAGGGTATACTTGAACTGATAGTACCTTCTGCAAATCAAGCCAACAGTCCTTGACAGGTAACTGTTGGTGTTTCACGTGTCCTCTTCCTTATAAACTAGACTAACTCATGTTTTTTTCAAGGTGTTTGAAATCTCAGTTCTCAGCAATGGATCATCACCTCCCCCCAAGTGCCCTCTGCTCATCTGCTGCTGAGAGTTAAGTCAGACCAAACCTGTGCATAACAAAATTGTATCAGTCCACAAGTTTCTCTGTACCAATGTGAGAGTTGGAACTAGTTACTGCTTTTTTTTCTAGTAGTTGCGTGGGTATTTATTAGAAATGAAATATTAATTTAGTGTGTGTGTTTAGTTGATTAGTATGATGAAAAACTCTGCCATCAATAATGCTAACAGCATGCATTGATTACAAAACTTAGTTCTAAAACCAGATTTTGCATTTTTATTTTGCATAAATACAGAACATTATGTTACTTCTGAGGGAGAACCAGCCACTCTTCTTCAGTAACTTTCAGACCATACTGAAGAAACAATTCATTTGAAAAAACACCTGGGATGGACTAAATGTTTTTAAATTATAGACATTCTTTAGAAGAATGAACTTCTTAAAATGTTTTCTTAATGTGAAAAAGGCAGGAAACAGCTTTTGAACACTTTAAAGTGAGAGATAGTAATTTCTTAACTTGAAATATATTGTAATAATTAATACCATCCAAGACTTCATGTGCAAAAGTTTAGCAACAGAAGGAGAATTTATCCAACACAGATCAGGCATAGCTAAACTTCAGCAAAGCCCTGCAAACACAGAAGTTTGTTGTTTGGAAGGCTTGACCAATCACTGTAGTACGTTATTTACATGCTTGAATTCTTTAGCTTCCTTTCCTGGGAAGGCACAGTTAATTTCCTCAGTTCATGTGGGTTTGTGCTGAATCAGATGGAGTTTTTTATGAGAGCCTTGGGCCTTTTTTTAAGTTGGAAAGTAAGATAAATCACTGTAGCTTTGCTGCTCTAGTGGAAACATTTTGTCTATTCAAATATACAAGCTTTTCCCTCTCCTTTCTTTAACCCTCTTCCGCATGTACAGGCATATGGCAGCCTTGGAATAATTTCTGTCTCTGGCTTCACTTCAGAATTTCAGCTTTTTTTTTCTTGGGCTTTTAAAAGCCTGTAGTTGCCATACTGTGAATTTTCATTTCTGTGGCAAATTTTTACAGAGTGAAGATTACACTGTGGCTTTCCAGTTGTAGCTCAATGGGTCCTGTCCCAGAGATTATCCTGCGTTCTAATGTTCTATGAAACTTGTGAACCAGTCCTACAGGAGTGTGAATGCCCTCAACAGCTCTTGACCTTCATGTGAGTTCAGGAGCTACACTTGAAGAGCTGGCGCTTACTGTAAAGAACTCAAACAATTGGTTACATGAAATCCCATGAATTGCGTGTGCGTATTCAGACGAGTGGGTGCCCCGGCACACTCCAGCGCTTATGAACACAGACCTACTTAACTTCTTTTTGGTCATTTTGGTCTTTCTGTCTCAACTCCTCTTTTTCTTCAGGAGTATCAAAATCTTTTATTACTCATGTAATTGCTTTGGATCTTTCCACAGTTTAATATGCTGAAGTTTTACATGTTAGCACAAGAGTCTCTGTGGAATAATTGCAAAATAGATCTGTTTTTTGTGTATGGCATTTTATCAGAACTTTGCTAATGTTGTAAATGTAACAAACGTTTTCCATTTCATTGCATTTTGTGTAGTGGTAGTCAACTCAAGAGTACACAAAAGGAACTGAGCAGAAATGGCATGTGGGGCTTGGTTCACATTATGCATCCAAAGAGGAAGGTGGGTTACCTTGAAAAAGAACAGTGCCATACAGTAATCTTAAAGGACATTCTATCCCTTACTTAAAGTCTGTGCTCAAATTTGGGCATAGGTCAATTATATTGATAGCATAGTTTCCTTATATTAATTTCAGTAAAAGCTTAGTGTGTTAAAATACCTACAGTTGTCTTCAGGCTTTGGAGAGCTGTTCCATTGTGTGCCACCTGCCTCGACAACACTGCAACAAATCTTTTATGTGCCTTTAGTTATTTCCTCTAGGCACTTGGCTTTTAAAATACTTGGTGTGCCTCAGTCATAGGATGCAGTCAGTGAACTCCTACTGGTGGTGCCTGTCCCATCGATGGCTCCCCACACAGCAAAGAGCAGCAGCAGCCATGGAACCCTTGCTCTGGGCAGCACTCTCTGTGGCCCTGCCTGGGGCCACTACAGCTGTGCTGTAGTGGAGGGAGGGATGCACCTGGCCAGCAGTCATCTGCATTGTTAAGAAAAGAACAATGTTACCTTTTATGTCCAGGAAGTTTGGTGCTCCTGCTGGCAGGGACAGCTGTGGGCAGCTGCTGTAGAAAGGAGAGCTGTCCTGATGTGGTGGGGTTGGTGTGGGGGTGCTCTGTGGACTTGACTGAAGAGGAGGGGTGCAGGTGGCCATCAGGCACTTCCTCACAGCCTTCCCTCTACTACGGCTTGCTGGCACTGCAGGTCGTTGGCCTGGGTGCTCCACGCTCCTATTGCCTACAGCACTGTGTGGCTGCTCCAGGGCAACAAAGGAAACAAGGTTTAGAGGATCATGCTGATGTTCTTTCCCCTTTATTTTCCTGCATCTGTGCCTTCAGCCACATTTGTCACAGGAGAGGCCTCTCAGAGGCCATTACTTTTGGGCAGCCTCCGCGTGAGCAGGGGACAAAACAAAAGAGGGACCTGGTGGTGGCCTGAGTTCAGGGAAGGGCTTCAGGTCAGGCAGGCACTAGCATGTCGCAGGTGCCCAAGAGCCCACTGTGACCACCATCCTGCTGGGGGTCTCACAGGAGCTGTCATGGTCACCAGGCACACATGCACAGCAAGGGCCAAGCTTCATTAACGCTGGTGCTCGCGGGCCGGCTCATTGAGCAGCGCGTTTCCTGGTGGGGTGACCTCTGCATGTGAGAGGGTTTGGTGGGCAAACCTCCCTGCTAGAAGCATGGAAGCTGTCCGTTGTCTGGCCAAGGCTTTTCCAGGTTGATGCATTAGCTGGGGTAGCACGTTGTTATGGCTGAGTAAAAAACATAAAGCTTTTGGGTTTTTAGCAGATGGCTTTGGGAAAAGGCGTGTATTTTGCTGTACTCTGAATTCAGTAAATATTTTTGACAGTGATTTGGAGGGTTTTTTTAATTATTTATTCCAAATTGCTTTTTTCTCGCTTCCTCTGAGAGAATGTGGGCATGTGCTTTGCTGACATTTTTCCTTGTGAAGAGAATGTGAATCTTGAATCAAATTGACCTATTTTTAACATTAAATTTTAGACCCTTACTTGAAAGTAAAATTGCCATGATGTTACATTAGTTTTAAAAACAGAGACATTAGTGCGAATGGTAACTTAAGAGTTGTTTAATGAAAATGAGATTTTCTTTACACTTATTTCTTATTACCTTTAGCACATCAGGTCCACCCATTTGGCCAGGAAGCACCTTTTTCAAGAGAAATGGAGCCCTTCTACAAGGTAGGTGATGGATACTACATCTTAGAGTAACTGTTGTGTTTATCAAATACCTCTTGCAAATTGCACAGCTTTTGTAATATTCACTGGGCAAGAAGTAACCAAATGTTTTTTGTCTCCTTTAACCTGTCGCTTTTATTGCGCATCTGGTGCCTTGAAAATGACGATTTACTACATACAGTGAGTGTAGTCTATGAAAACTGCTGCTTTTTTGTTTCTTCCCATTATTAATTTGCTTACTGTAAAATATGGCAATGGGTGTCTTTTTTTCTTTTTTTTTCTTTTTCTTGTTTCTCTTTGTGTGGATAAAATGTGCTGAGAAGGAAATGTTCCAGGAACACTGCTTTTAACTCTGTGGATGAAGTGAGGTTATTATTTGAGAGTGATCCTTTCTTGTACTCCCTAATTGTGCTGATAGCAGAATGTACCCAAAGGTAGGTAGCAGTGCTAAAATGGGGAAAACAGTGGCAAAGTATTTGCCTCAAGATACCTGCCCTATTGAAGAGTGCTTATATTCATAGAGAAATGTTAAATATCTTAGGTTGAATGGGCAATATAAATGGAAGTTACATGACTGCAGTTTTGATAGGTGAATATTCTCAGTCTATCTTGCCAGACTTTTAAAAATCATTATTCACTGCTAAATGTGTTTATGTTTCTGCCACTGAGTGCATACAACTACCTTCAGACTTAATGGAAATGTATTGGGATCATAGAAGGCTGTTTCCCCAGACTGCCTGTGTTTGTCTATGCTGCAAAAGTAATCTACACCATTTAGGATACCTTTATGGTCTTTGCAAGTATTTTTCTATTAAGTGTGTTCTCTGGAATATCGATCCAAATCATCTAGGTTAGAGCCTTACTCAAAACTAGGCTCATAAGCAAAGAATTGGCAGGCCTACCTTCAACACCCCAGAGTAATCCAGAATCTGTAGTTTACCCAAGAAAGTTTTTCAGCTGATGCCTTGTACATATCTAAGAATTTGCATTGTCATTTTCTGTATTATCTATGCTGAGATTTGTTCAAATGAATTTAGAATACATTAAAGCATTCAGATTATTTCTTAACATTAGGAGATGGTATAAACCGTAGAGTTTGGCAGCTTTTGGCTTTGGTATTGGTAGGATGGGTTTGCTACCTTTTGTAAGGAGAAAAATAAACTATTGTGACTGGGTATGCTTGATTAATTTTCAGTTGTTCAACAATTCCAGCTTTAAATGTGTACCTGCACATATATAGTCTTCATAATTCAAGTTCATAGAATGTAAACTACTCTGTCAAGTCTGTATGGCATAAATGTTTTACCTCTTATAATGCGAGATACCAAAAAATTAAGAACAGCTACTTTATAGTCCTTCCTATCTCAATTGTTGCTTAGTCTTTTCCAATAAAGAAGAGCATGTGGTTCTCCACCCTCTTCTCCTCTGCCCTCTGCCTTCCAAATTGGGGGGGAAACGTCCCTAAAAGCCCCAAACATTTGCACATACTAGACAAACAGAGAAAAAGAGAGAGATGACTACTAAACTAACAAAGCCTAACAGACCTTAACTGCATTAGCATTCTGCTTTGCCATTCCAAGTGGAAAATGCAGCCAATTTGAATTCTAGTATGCATGATACAACTGAGGTTGGAAGGAAGAGAGAGTGTGAAGAAAAACCTCATTACACTAATCTTTTAACACTTCTTGATTTTAATTTTAAACAAGAAAATAACCAAGTCTGTCTGTCTTTTCTTCGCTTTCTTTCTTTCTTCCTTGCTTGCTTGGTTACTTGCTTTCTTTCTGCCTTTCTGTCTTTCTGTCTTTCTTTCATTTTTCCCT